TCTTTTTCTCCTCCTTCCTCCAAATTAATTTACATCCCAGACATGAGCCTCAGTAGAAATTCTTGCCATAATCATTTGGAGCTAAATATTCTGAGTAATCAATCAAAGCAGCGGAACCAATTTTGCAACTGTCACTTTTGATTTTTCCAATAAAAAGATCGAGCATTTCACTCACAGTGCTGTTGCGAATTCAAGCTCTTAAAACCTTCACTCCACTGCATCAGCGCTTCAGAAAAAGCACTTGAAAACCTGAAGAGCCGGCACAGTTGCAGAGAAACTAAAACAGATTGATTTTTAGCAGTGAGAAGCAGCCTGGTTTTCCATGTGCCTTTAGACCTTTCTCACGAAACCCTTTCTTTCCTACCTTCCTCCTCTACAGGAATAACTCAGATGTATTAGTAATCTCATACATGCAAAAAGCTGGCACTAATCATAAACGTTGATGCTATTGAGGCTTCAGTGCCTACATGTTTGGCTAATAAAGGCACAAAGAGCAGATCTGCTTGGTGCTGGGCCTGCACAAGGAGAGAAGAGGTGGTCTCCTCTCCACGGTCCGGTCCAGGGCGCTGGCAGACGCGCTGGCTGCGGCAGAGCTTACCTGTTGGAGGAGGCAGGAGCTGATGCGGTACAAAAGCGGTTGGAAAAATCCAACCTGGAAAAAATGTGCCAATTAAACATACTGGTGATTGCTCTTTTTGTTCAAGGTACGTGGGCTGCATTTCTGCTCAGCAAGGAGTGATCAAATTAGAGGCTTTGCAAGTCGTTCCTCGTGCGAAATCTTTGGCTGCAGGAAAGTCGGGGGAATTTTGCCATTGCCTTTGAGGAAGGCAGAGCATTTATGCCTCCCCTGCACAGTTTATGTCAGCTGTAACTCATGCGACAGAAACTAGCCTTTATTTGTATTTTCAATAGGCTAATGGGTGTGGATGAAGCTGGGCCCAGTAAAAGCAGATGCATGCCTATGCGTATAGGAGAAAACAGCAAAGCAGAAATAGTACCCACAAGCCTGGCTCTCCTTCACGCCTCCAGCCCTGCTATATCATGTAGAAAAGGGAAGGATCCTTACTATAAGCAGATACGAGGTCCTAAACCCTCTAGATTCAGGACTATTTGTTGTTTCACATGAATTTCCCATTGAGATAAGCTTGCATTGAGATAACAAGGTTCTCCTGTGTTGTTAGCACCGGAAATAACCAATGCCAGGAAGAGGCAGCTAGCAACAAATGTCAACCTTTTAACTGCATCCACTCTGCGTTATTGCGATTACGGTGTGTTGCCAGCCAGGACCTCTGTGATGAAAAGTGACTGACGGGTCTCAGCATCATTCCTCCTTTCCGTTATCTTTGCTTGCAAGACCTTGTAGGTGTGATGCTGCAAGCATATAATTAGCTGTGAGATTTAGGAGTCGCAGCAGGAGAAGCTCACAGTGTCAGTCGGCAGCTGCCTGCGGGAGCTTTACCAGCACCACCGCCCGGAAACTCCTGCTCCCTTATCTTGGCTTAGTGCGTTTATCAAGGGCACAGATCGGACCTGGAAGTTCTGAAGATGCGGAGAGCCCTTTGGCATGTGTGCAGGGAGAGGAAACCTAAGAAACAGAGAAGTTAATGTTTTCAGTTTGCAAGAGAGCTTGAAAATGCCACTGTTATTTTATTCATCTTTTTCCCCTCCGGAGGTCAACAGTAATCTGCTTTTTGCTCTCTCGGTGCTGAATTTCCTTCACTGAAAGTTTAAAAAAAAAAGGGACAGTAATTCTCTTCTGGAGAGGGAGGTTTTTTGTCTATGCCTTTCAGAATGCCTTGGGATTATTAAAAAACAGGATTTATTCATGTAGAAGCCCAGCTTTCTCTTCCTATGCCATTTTACTTCAATGTCTCTCCTGGGACAATTCGAATGACTCTGTCCAGCCCTTGCTGTGGTGACCCTATGCCTTCCCCCATCAGGCCCCCGGGGCAGCCCTGCCGGTGCCAGGCGAGGGCAGAACTTGGCCCACCAGCAGGCAACGACCACCCTTCCCAAAGCAAGCAGAAACGACACCAAACCCCAGTGCGTTGACACATGATGTTCCATTGTATTTTCAGTCTATTAATACACATTTATTTACCGAATACAAACCAAGTGGAAAGGAAAGCAGTCATTAGCAGAAACAAGGATACAAAACGGTCAGTTCCAGCAGCCTTCACAGAAGGCATATTCAGCGCCCACCGGGTACGGCTGGAAGGCGGAGACGCAGAGACCTGCGCTCACGTCTGAAACAGAAGCTCTCATGTTGCTGATCAGTTTAGCCTGAGACACGATTTAGAGAAACGTTCCCAGAACTGTGAGTTTTGACACTATTTTTTCCTCATTTCCCAAGTGTCAGGAGTTAGGTAAGTAAGAATTATTTACATTGATGAGATTTTATGAAAACACACTAGGAGGTTAATTACAGAATAATCACCAAGACTTGAAAATACAATAGTAAAACAGGCCAAAAGTAGACCCAAAGACGATGGTTGCATTCAGCTGTCAATCTACAGTTTGTGGGTCTGTTCCACTGTGATTTACCTCAGTTCTGCACGTTTAACTTGATTCACCGCCATGGTGTTAGGCTCCTGCTTTAAACTTTGATTGTGACAAGGTCCTGATTTCAGCAGGGTTTCGGTGATGCAAAAAGAGATCGCCCATTTGAGTCCGCTTTGCGGAATCAGGGCCATGAAAGGCTAGGCAAATGCAGTAAGGTCTTGTGGGCCCCCCCAAGAGGTGCGAGCCCCTACCTTCATCCCCGATTCAGGAACAACCTGCACAAACAGTGCAGCAGCTCTGCAGCTGATCAAGGTGGGTCAGTTTTGACCACTGTGGATTTGGGTCTTTCCATTTGGCAGGAGGAAAAGGAAATTGTGCTAAAAGACTTTTCTTTCTGTGGCCCACAAGTGCAGCTTCTGTATTTAAGTTACACGACCTATACTATGTTAACTACAAATGCACAAAAAAAATTATTACATTGAAAGAGCAACAGCAAGCCAAGACTTGAGTTTGATTGTACACAGATGTTTCCTTGGAAGAAATAAAAATACCATTAATTATTAGCAGGGTCTCACCTGAGCAAAACCCTCACCGAGGTCTCCCCCAGGGGACAGCACCAGGATTGTGAAATCATGTTCTCAAACTTGATCAAAAGAAATTTAAAAAGAGTGTTTGGGTTTTAATCTAGCAAAGCTCACATCAAGCCAGGCAGCTTTACTGGTGGCTGCCCTGGATGAGGAACATGTTTGCCTGGCATAGGCCTGCTGAGGTTTTCTCCCTGCGTGCATGTTCACTGGTAAAAGCAAAGTTTCATTTTATAATACCAAGAGATATTTCATGTATTTGCCTTAGTTAAACATCCCTTCTTAGGATGAAGAGTGACAAATGCACTTGCTGCTTGGGGACAACCCCCATTTTTACAGCCAAAGAAGATCAGGCTGCAAAGATGCTGCCTCTGCCCATGCCCAACTGCAGCAAGTTGAGACGGAGACCAAAAGCTGAGCTGAGCACTTCACCTGCCATGCAGTACTAGAGCATTCCTTCTACAAGTTACATCTTGTAAAGTTCTTAAATATGATGACATTTTAATTTTTCTTCCCCCCCCCCCAAAACCATGCATCAATTCCACACTAAAAAGTTTATCCAGTCCAACCTCTATACACAAAGTACATATATTAAAATATCACAGTATTGAAAAATATATAAAGATGTGGTAAGGAGCGTGAGTTCTCAGAGTGGCACCTACTAAGGAATACATTTAAAAAAAAAAAAGTCTTTACTCAGTTGAACTATGAAAAAAAGTAGAGCCTGGGAGAAATGTCTCATTTCTGACAGTTCTAATAAGCAAATGCCACAAGAAACAGTTATTTCAGGGCTTGCTAGTACTTGAGTCCACATCACTAGTTACAGTACTGTACATTTGCAAGCGATTCCTCTGCAGTCTGGTGAAGGCATTAAAAGTAAAAACCCTATGGTATTAAAAAGTAGTGATTGTTTAGGTGCAGAAATAAATGCTCTCAAGGTGTTAAACCTCGCCCTTACAGTGGCTTCTTAATATAAGAAAGAAAACTCCGGTTGACAGACAAAGAGCGGGGCGTACGGGCC